CACAATCCATCACATGGTCCAATCTTCTTCTTCCATGCTGGCATCCACACCCAGCTGCTTCCGGTCAGGTGCCAAAATACGGAGACAAAGGATGACCTTGGCTTCTAGTAAAGAATGAACACAATACATTCCACAATCTCACTCCCCCCTCTCATCAACTATACTAATGAAACAGTGTAATGAAATAAGAGAAAGTGTGGCAGGCCAAAATTCTAAAAGGAATATAATTGCAGGCCTGATAACTACAACAGAACCATTTAGAGAAAACGGTGGGTGAGCAAGAAAGCGGTCCTCGAATAGATCTCCTCCTTGAGTGATCCAAAGCGTCCACGAAAGAGACCTAAAACAAGACGGATTGACCACATCAGCAAGTATTTGGGGCCCCAATTGGGGCCAAAGGAAACTTAGGACCATCTGTGTTGGAAACCTATCTGCTTCTCTCATGTTCTCATCATATCATCATCACCACCTACTCTCTTCCATCTCCTTCACCTTTTCCAGAACCATGGACTTCTCTAAGGTTGTCTCCAAAATGAAGTAATTTGTGCCTGGCCATTTGAGTCTTGAGTGAGAAGTCTGGATTGATTTCTCCTAGAATCCATTTATTTGATTAACGCTCTGCCTTTTCTTCAAGTCCTTAAGATAATGCATGTAGCACTTCATCTTCATTTAACGACCCCACAATCCCTTGCAGGGGCGGAGTCTGGGCCACGGAATGGAGTTAGCAGAGTGTTTACTGGCCCACTGCCCTTCCTGACGCCGATGTGTAATTTTGTTCAGCAGATATATTCTCATTGTGCCCAGAGAGAGAAATATCTGCCTCTACCCAGGATCGAACTCACAGCCTCCCGATTGTGAGGCGAGAGCTCCACCTCTAGGCCACGTTCTCATCGTATGCTACACAAGAATAATCTGGGAGTCTACATGTGACTCGTCCCTGTCCAATTTCAAGAACCCTGTATCTATTCAAGGCACAGAATGCAGCCAAGGAGGAAGAAAACGGGATGACCTCAGCTAGTATCGAGCCAAGAAAGACTCCAATGTCGGAAAGAACCCAATGCATCCCTCTACGTAACATCCTGCTCTACAACCACCCCACGAGAAACATGGACCGTCTTCTCACCGGCTTGAGCGAACTCCACGAGAAGTTTTGGCAAGGTGGCGGAGAAAAGCAACGTCTGGCGACCGTCGGGCAGCCTCGAGACAATCTCGTTCAGCTGTTCTGCAAAGCCCATCTCAAACAACCTGGCAGGGTGAGAACGGGACATTAGAACAGATTCTGCAAATACTCAAAACATTCAGATGGAACAGCCAAGAAGCAGATGTAGAAAGAGATAAAGATCTTAAGAGAGTAATATGGGGGACAAGTCAAAATGTAAAGTTTCTTAAACCGTTTTTAACCCTCTTATTTCGTTATTCTTTTGCTTATCTATCTAGCGTATTGGCTGTTTACCTCTAATAAGTTTAATTTCTCGTATATGTGTGTGTGTGTGTATGTATGTATGTATGTATGTATGTATGTATGTATGTATGTATGTATGTATGTATGTATGTATGTTAGCATGTTAGCTTAGTGGCTAACACAACTGCCTAATAT